TTTCTAACTTTAGCTTACGTGTTTTAGATGTACTACTTCATTTAACATGTCATCAGTCTTCCTGCTAAGGTAGATGGTACTTTTTGTTCTAATCCTACAGATGAGTGAAATGATGATGTGAAATATGCCTCACATAGAAACACAGAAAATCTTCTTAGCTGGTAAGAGGTGCAGTCAATCTTCTGATTGTCCTTCAATGTCTGTTATTAAACTGTCAGCTGAGGAACGAATTGTCTATGTCATTTATTATCAGTAGAATTATTCCTAAGAATCACCAATTGTTTCTTATTTACAGCAGAACTGTCTCACTGTTGTTTGGAAAACCTTGATGAAGAGTTTATAACATCGGCTGCCCTTTTGGTTTCCTGCAACTCCTGATGAATGCAGGGCTGTGACCTGACTTCTCTCTTCTCTTTCCAAATCCATCTTTTTCTTGGCTCTGGACCTCAAATTTAAGGGGTCTAGTTTACCTACTCACAGGAATAGTTGATTCCAGAAATTTTGATTTAAATCAAACACAAGAAACCATATTACATGCTAGTCCATAGTTCATGACCTGAAACTTCTTATTTCTTATTTCCTATTGGTTCAATTTATTGAAATATCTGTTATGTATCCCAGTGTATACACAGAATTTTGTACATATTATATTGTCAAAAAGGTATTTGAAAGGAAGAAAATGTGAAAAGAAAGGACAACAAAAACGAATGAAGGAATGGCAACTTCTAACTATTATAACTGTGTTAGCTTTTATGATTTGTCTTGATACCTTATCTTTCAAAGTGGCTACTTTAAATATGCTACAGAATAGAATTCACTTAAACTAACACACTACTGTATGTAAACTAATCGTAAACAGGTACAGAGTAAGTTCAAAGGGAGTTTTCAGGAAGAAATGTCTTCATGAATAATATTTATTAATAATATTTCCTCTTCATTAATCATATTTCCCTGACATGACATTCTTAAGGAAGTAAATTTGGGCCAGGTAATTGTCACTTTTTCAAATGCTGTTAGAATTATCGAAAATGGTTACATTTATAGATTGCTTCTTGTGTGGAAAGGAACACTGGTGCTTCTGCTAAGTAAGCAATGGGCTGCTAACTGCATGGTCGGCAGTTCAAACCCATCAGGCCCTCAATGGGAGGGAGATGAGGTTACTGCTCCCTTAGAGCTTCCCAGCTTTGGAAACCCTACACAGGGTAACAATGAGCCCGAATTGACTCCGTGGTTGGTTTGACATTGTCTTAAATGGTCTGTGTTATTTCATTTAATCATAATTAGTTCTATCTTCATATTCATTTTACACTTAAAAATGAAACCATGCTAAATCCTATACCATGAAGGCAATGAAGATGGTAGAATCTGTAGTCATTGTCTCTAAGGCCGTATTTGTTGTTGGTCTCCATAGCCTTTGACCTGTAGGACACCTAAGCTCCAGAAAGTTGCGTCAGAATGATGGAGAAGCAGCACAGGCATCTGTGCCCAACTTTCCTTTTAGGCTTGTGGGGTTTGTGTGGGAAAAGGCCCGCCATGGCTCGGTGAGAAGTAGAACAAAATCAGAATCTGGTATTTCTGAAGTAGACAGGTTGTCAGGTTCTGAAGAACAAATACGCTTTGGAAATGCAATGAATGTGAACTCCCCACCCCCTAAACAACAACAAGATATGCCACTTGAGAAAAGACAAATGAATCTGCTTAACTCTAGTCAGTATTATGATTTGCCTCCAAAAACAGAAGAAACACTTTCCCAGGGAATACAATTCAGATGGTCAAGCTCTCTCATCAGATCAAGACATGTCCTTGCTTTCTTACTAAGGTTTTGAGTTGTCGGCTCTGTGACCTGTATGGTGTTTGTTTCTTCACATGGGTGGATAGTACTTTCAGAGGAAGGTACCATCTGAAATAGAAATATGACAGAATCAAACGTCACTGTGACGGAATTTGTATTCCTGGGGCTCTCGTCTCAGCCAGAGATACGGCTTATCCTTTTTATCATGTTCTTATTCTTCTATGTATTAACGGTGGCTGGGAATATCATCATCATCACGCTTATCCGGTTAGAACCCCATCTCCACACACCCATGTATTTCTTTCTCACCAATTTATCCTTCCTGGACATTTGCTACACGTCCACCAACGTGCCACAGATGCTGTCCAACATGGTGGGGAAGAAGACCATCTCGTTCTCTGGCTGTGCTACTCAGATGTATTTCTCCCTCTCCTTTGGGATGATTGAATGTGTTCTCTTAGGGGTCATGGCATATGACAGATATGTAGCAATTTGCCATCCTCTTCATTATACTGTTATTATGGACCAAAACACCTGTGTCCAACTGGCAGCCATTTCTTGGTCCAGCAGCTTCCTGAGTTCCATGGTTATCAATATTCTCACGTTGAGTCTGCCCTACTGTGGACCCAATATCCTGAATCACTTTTTTTGTGAGGTCCCTTCTGTCCTGCGATTGGCTTGCACAGACACCTTACTGACTGAGTTGGTTGTTTTCGTCTTCAGTATCATCATTGTCTTCATTCCTTTCTTCCTCATCGTTGTGTCCTATGTCAGGATCCTTCAGTCTGTCCTCAGGATGGGGTCAGCTTCTGGGAGGCAAAAGGCACTGTCCACATGTGCCTCCCATCTGACAGTGGTGGCCTTATTCTATGGAACTGCCATCTTCATGTACATGAGACCTCAGTCAAAGTCCTCCAGGGCAGGGGGTAAGATCATTGCTGTGTTTTATACTGTGATCACACCCATGCTCAATCCCTTGATCTATAGCCTAAGGAACCAAGATGTAAAAAAAGCTTTCAGGAGAGCTATTGGCAAGCAGAGGATCTGAGAGCTGCCAATGGAACAAGGAGATGAACAGCTGATCTAAGTTCACTGAATTCTGACTCTGAAAAGATGGAGTAAAACGTTGTGGGAATAAAGGCACAAGTAAGTCCAAATGTAAGCTAAGCAGGACACAAATATTTCTAGGACACACTGCAATTGTAAAGTGCGAACAAATCTATCTTAAAAAAACAAAGCTACTGTCCCTGAGTCTATTCCAACTTATAGTGACTCTACGCAGAGTTTTAGAAACTGTAATTCTTTCTGAGAGCAGTCTCATCTCTCTTCTATGGAGCGGCTGGTGCTTTTGACCTGCCAGTCTTCCAATTAGTATCCCACCCACAGTGCCTTCCGAGCTCCTCAAACAAGCTCCTTTACTGAATGATAGATATTTTCGTACTCATTAAGACAATGTGGCTCTCTAATGTGATAGACCATCTGAAATTATATTTTAATTAAAATAAAATAGCACACTCCTACTTTAAGGATCTAAGCCACTTTGACATAGAAAAGCAGTCTCGATGTTCAATCGAGGTACAGGTTTAGATAAAGTGATTTTTGATGCAACATTTCACATCTATTCTAATATTGTAGTTTAGAGGAAAACAAAACATTTTATTGGTTTTGTGGTAAGACCTGATGGTGACCCCTTTACAGAGCTCTCATTTGTAGTGAATTTATCATAATACTGCTTTATTTATGTTCACTTAAATTCTGCCTTACCTCAAATCCTAAGCTAAATCTATCTTTCTTTATTTGATGGGTCATTCTGTTGTTCTGCTGCGGTGTGATCTTTGCAATATATCAATAAATATGATTTTATTTGTTTCTTGATGTATGTAAGTGATCGTATGGAAAAAGATAACAATTATCAAGAGCAAGTTATCCAGCAATAGATTAATTAATTGATAGATTCATTTACTCACCAAACATTATTGAATGCTTATTGTTATTAAAAACAATAGAAACATTTTCTGCTCTCAAACATGTATATATATCAGACATAATAACAAATTTATAACATCTAAAATATTCATTTATAAAATATGTACAGTGTAAAACTAACAAGTTTTGATACCTACTATAAAGCAATAATCCCCACGGTTCAGTGATAGAAAATAATAGGTAAAGTATTCTTAGGGAAGTCATAAAAATACACAGGTGTGTGTGTGTATTGGTTAATTGAAAGTAAATTGGTTAATATCACAAATTCATGAAAATAAATGTTTTCTGTTCTTTGGAGCTTTTATTCCAGGAGTGTATTTGAAAGGAATTATTAGAATCTAGAGAGAATTAAGGGAAAAGCCAGGTATAGCTTAGTATTAGTAATTTAGAGGAGCCCTGATGGTGTAGCACAGGGCTGCTAGCCACGAGATCAGCAGTTTGAAGCCACAAGCTGCTCTGAGGGAGAAAGACGAGGCTTTTTACCCCCATAATGATTCAGGCTCAGAAACCTGCAGGGGCAGTTCTGCTGTGTCCTATATGTTTGCTATCAATCAGAATCAACTCGATGGCACTGAGTATTAATAACTTGGGGTGGAAGTTTTAAAAAGTCTCTGATTGGTATGGCTTTCATTTAGAGATAAATTGTTTCAAAAATATTTCTTACATGTTGATGCTACAACAAATAACGCAATTGACCTTTTGGAGATTCTCAATTACTAAAACTCAATATTGTCTTCCACTTAAAATAAAGGTTTTATGGCATCAGGAAATGATGCAGCTCACTGAGATAGGTAATACCACATATTTGAAATTTATTTATAAAGTAAAGGAAAAAGC